AAAACAAAACAAAACTAATAACGTGTGGGCCAAAAACAAAACACCTATTGTCTAGATTCATCTTCAGACTGCCAGTTTTCAGTCTCTGTCCTTGTATTCGGATGTGGCATTGCCCTTCCGTCTGTGCCAATCCCTGTTTCTCCCCACTTCTAAAACTGGTTAATTTCAGATTCCAGCACAAGGCCCCAGGCCCTGACTATCCTATTTTCTCTGATCGCAGCCTCAAAATCTGGTTGTTTATCCAGACTACTGCCAATGTATCACCATCTTCCAAGGATCCTGGGATCTGCCTGTGGCTAGGTCTGCCCCCACCCAGCCCTGCAGGTCTCAGCCTCTCTCCATCCCTCCTGTCACACTGCAGAGGACCAGGTAACACCCATTCAGGTCTGAGATTAAATACTAATTACAACCTGTGTTTATAGCCATGTACCATGTTCTGGAACCCCACCAAGAGTTTATAGGAATTATTTCACTTAATGCTTCCAATAATCCTGTAAATAAGTATAATTTATGAAGATCCTGATACAAGCCATTCAAATTGACACAGCAATTACCTCGAAGATCTGAGATTCAAACTCAGGTCTGAAGTTCAGGCCTACTCCACTGTCCCACACAGGAGATGCAGGGAAGGCAATGTGGGTGATCTTTCTACACATCCATGCCGGAGGAAATGGGGGATACTACGTATTCAGTTTCACATCATGCTTTGAAAATTCACACCTCCTCAATACATATTGTATCTTTCCAATTTTATAACTTTCCATATACAGTTACCTGTGGTTCCCAGGTTTTGGGATTTCATGGTCCACTAATACTTCAAAATATATTTTGGTGGCTGACATAGGGTTGCCAAACTTCTATTTTGCCAAGTTAGGGTATTTTTTAAAACTACCATATGACATCGTTATCATTTCATTAAACAAAGACTGTTTTAACAAACAGACTGATACACACACACACACACACACACACACACACACAACATTAAGGAACTAGATAGGACATAATCTTCGAATAAAAGATAATCTTTTCCTAGAAAGATGAATTAGTATCCTTATACTAACATGTATACAAATATACAGACAAAATGTATTTTCAATGTATTAATTTTGTTACTATCTTCATTTTGTGACTTTATCATAGAATGGTAAACATTTAATTACAGACCAGCACTATTCCTGAACCTGATTTTATGGAACCAACATTTTCATTTGCCCCGTCTGTCCATCTGTAATTGTTTGATTGGAGATGGTTTAGGTGACTAAGGGTTGGGAAACAGTATCAGTTGTACCTTTGCTGGACAGAGTGATGTATCCACAAAGTGTTTTCAGAGCATTGTTCTGCCTCAGTCTAGACTCCAGATACCGGGCACAGAGACCACAGCACCTCACTGAGAGCACACTATG